AGTTACATCTATCGAACTCAAGAGTGGGATGACTTCCCCAATGGCCGATGGTAAGCTCTTAGCCTGCAAGGGCAGGGAGATGGAGGTGTGGTACAAAAGACTGCTCCACAGTCTGTCTCTATTAGTGGGTGTCCTGGGCACACTTTGGGCTTGACAAAACAGGTGGCTTCTTAAAGTGGTCCCCAATTGCTTGGATTTGAATGAGGTGAGGAGAATGGCATTGAGATGTCTTTTGGTCTCTTAAGTGGATTTTGTTGGGTACTTCTCTTCCTGTGTTCCTGCATCACCAAATCCTGTTAATCCTGTGTCTGCTTCCCTTACAGGGGTAACTCCTCCTCCCCAGCCTTTGGGGAACTGAAGGACTATTACCTCTTTTACCTGAAGAGCAAGTCTCCTCGGGAGGAGCTCCTGAAGATGTGGGGAGAAGAGCTGACTGGTGAGGAAAGCGTCTTTGAGGTGTTCACATGTTACATCAGTGGAGAACCCAACAAGAATGGGCACAAGGTGAGCGATGGTCAATGTGGCACAGACAATAGCACGTTTCCTCATGCTCCCGGTACCCCATTGTTCTTCTAAACAAGAATTGGCACTTCCCTATCCAAAAGGACTTGCTGAGGAAATAGTGGCTGAAGGGAATTCAGCAGCCAGACTTAGGGCTCAACATAAAAGCTTCTATAGCATGACAAGATCAGTACTGATAGAATTCAGCAGTCATTTAGAGTTGCCTCTGGAACCAAAGCTGGGAATTCTCTCCTGAAGCAGGTGTGTGAGACCATTAGGGCACTTCTGAGTTCCTTCAGTATCCAGATGGTAACCAAAGGGTTGTTATATCCATTCTGAACCACCCTTTCTCCCATGGTAGGTTACGTGTATGCCATGGAATGATGACCCTCTTGCTACAGAAACCAACCTTCTGAAGGAGCAGCTGGAGAAGGTTAACAGACGAGGAATCCTCACCATCAACTCCCAGCCAAACATCAATGGGAAACCGTCCACAGACCCCATTGTCGGCTGGGGGCCCAGTGGGGGCTATGTTTTCCAAAAGGTACTAGGGGCTAGGCAGCAAAGAGTTATGACCCAGTTTGGTCTGTGTTAGGTAGGCTTTCACCCACATAATCCTTCTGCCTACTCCTTATCTTAATACCTTCTTACTGAGATGAGGCAAAGCTCCTTTGGTGTCTCAAGGGACAGATTATGTCAGCTGTACGGCTTACCTCATAGTTGTTTTTCCCACCTCAAAACCTCTGTTGAATATTTACAGAGGTTCTTGGTTTTACTCTGAACAAGTAATTACTGTTCAGAGAGGGGTGATGAAGTTCTAGGTACAAGCAGATGCCTGCCCACCAATGTCGAACCACAACAACCTTCCTTGGCTTACAAGCAGCCTTGTCTGCCGAGCCTGCCTCCACTGTCATGCATTTTCAGGCGCTGGAGCCCTGCCACTAATGGCTGCGATAGGAATCTCCCATCAAGGTAAATGCCAGGCAAGTGGCTCATACTAGAAAACAAAGCAGCCCTGTTCGAAAGGGATCCAAACCGCTAAAGCCATGAGACCAGCAGATGGCAAATGCAGTTATGTTTTCAAAGGGAAAAATTCCCCCGAGGTGAGGGGAAATCCATCATCTCGAACAATAGCCAGGAAATGGGGGGAGGGGAAATGGTTGTTGGGAGCAGCCAAGCACAGAGCAGCAGTAGATGGAGCAAGTACAGAATTAGGCTTTATAAGTACACAGGGAGAATTGGGAACAAAAGATGAAGACAGGGAATGGTGGGGTGCTTGGGAGAGCCCAGCTGAGACCTGGCTTCTGCTCCCACCAGACTGGGCTGCTTCGGCAGGACACTGCTGTTCACAGGGTACCATGTAGAATGGAGGCCTCTCCCAAGCACTCTGTCTGGCACGGACTGTTTCAGTAGTTGTGCTTACACTGGCTGGAGCCTATTCCAGCCTGCCTGCTCATGGGGGTGCAGAATGGGAAGCTTGTAGCTTCCTGAGCTCACTGCTTCTGGGTTGCTACTTTTGCTCTCACCATTTATCTCCCCTGCCCTTTGCTCAAGCCTCCTCTGTAGTACATGGTTCTGGGAATGGACAAATAAATTTTAGGCTGCCTGGTTTCCATGCAGTCCAGACTTTGTAACTGTCCTCTTGGTTGCCTGTATTTGTCTCAGCCCTGCCATGAATTAAGGCTCTTATTCCCTTTCCCCTTCCCTCCATGTAGGCATACCTGGAGTTCTTCACCTCCAGTGAGATCGTCACGGCATTGCTCAAGGTGCTGAAGAAGTATGAGTTGCGAGTGAACTACCACATTGTCAATGTCAAGGTGGGCTGTTGTTTACAGGACACTTCCTTTTACCACCCTGGGAGAGAGACAGAGATTCACATATCACTATGAACAAAGTGGGACAAGAAGGCTGATGAAGGGAAGGGAAAGTGAAGCAAGTCAGCTGTGATGTGCAGTGGCTGCCTGATCTCTTACCAAGGAAAGGATAAACGCACTTGTTCCATCTCAATTTCTCCTCCAGCAGTTGCTTCAGAAAGGTTTTCCTTCTTTTGGCAGGGCCAGAATATCACCAATGCTCCAGACCTGCAACCCAATGCTGTCACCTGGGGCATCTTCCCAGGCAGGGAGATCATCCAACCCACTGTAGTGGACCCTGTAAGCTTCCTCTCCTGGAAGGTGAGTCCTCCCTCCTGCTGGGAACATTGCCGTGGTGCCCTGGGAAGTTCAGAGTGTCTGGTTTGGTTTTAGCCTGTGATACTTCTCAGAGCTGACCACTGTTGTGATGCTGCTTTTCCTGTTTCCTCGATGTAAGGAGAACTTTGCTCCAGCCAAGAGCTCTTCATAGATACCAAGTTCTCCGTGAAGAGAGGCTCTGGCAATAGCTCTCCCTCCCCTCTTACACGCACAGGGGCAGCATTGAGCCATCTTACTGCAAACGCGTCCCTCTTTCAGCCCTGGGCGCTTCCCACTGCCTGGAAAGCAGGAGGCTCCCTGCTCCTGGAAACAAGCCACAGGCTAGCCAGTCATGAGTGACACTGCTTGTTCTAAATGAAGTGATATGAAGATGCAGCTTTAACACGTGCATTACACCACTGCCAACATATAATATTTGGTTTTACTCTTGGCAGGATGAGGCCTTTGCACTGTGGATCGAGCAGTGGGCCAAGCTCTATGAAGAGGAGTCACCCTCTCGCATGATCATTCAGTACATTCATGACAACTACTACTTGGTCAACCTGGTGGACAATGACTTCCCACTCGAAAACTGCCTCTGGCAGGTTGTGGATGATACTTTTGAGTTGTTGAACTCTCAGACTCAGCAGTGAAAATTCCTATTCCAGTCCCTTACTTCCTCCTTCCGTCCAACTGACCGTGGGGAGAGCTGAAGCAGCTCCTGTGCTGATGCAGGAGCACGCACTCCTAAACCCAGTGACCAGGCTAGTTCTGATCCATCCACACTACATGCACCTCTGTCCCCAACACAAAGGCTCCCTGACCCCTTCTTACTGAACAATAGCCAGAACTACCCCAGTCTCTGAGCTGAGGCTCTAGCCTGAGCTTGAAGGCCAGCTCTGCAGGATGAAGAGGTGCTCCTCACAGCTATGCTGATTACACGATAACTCCTATGCATTAATGTGATAAAACTCAGTGAGATTCTGGTAACTTTTTCATGTCAGAAATGCTGCCTTGGGGGCAAAAACACTCCTGTCAGCAGTGCCTATGCAACAAAGCTATCTCAGTAGTTACCAGCTGTCAAAAGCAGCTCAAATTTCTTTTACAGTGCACTCCTAGGACGTATTCCTTCATAACTGATTATATCAGGCTCTTCTGCACTCACTCCAGAAGCAGGTTCAAATTTTCTCCTCTCTTTTTTTCCTTTTATTGTATTTCCTGTTTTCTTTTTACTGGAAAAATGTACATTTCACTTCTGGATGAGGCTGAGCAGGAATCACACTATTTCTTAGATTAAGTACAATAAAATACACAAATATAAATGTCTCTTTTACTAAGTCATACTCTTCTAAATAGCAAAGACTCTTGTTTGCAAACTAACCAGCCTGACACAAGGGAAAATTTGAAGAAAACCAGTTTATGGGGCAGTTCTGCCTTCACTTTCAACAAATTCTGTAAGCAGAGTATGGACAAAGCTCCCTTGTGAAGCAGAGAAAGCTTAAATACTATAATTTACCAACAGCAACCAGCTACAACCTTTGGCTTGGTTCTGCAAGGTCACAGGAGCTGTGGTGGTCCTTTTCCAGTGCCTGTAGGGAAAGACAGCCTATCCTTCCTGACCTAATGACTCAACAGCCTTAGGCCCCACAGCATTGCAGTTAGGGTTTAGGGGAGCCATGGAGGGAGCCTGCTTTGTGTACTTAACAACCCTGCAAAGCTACCACAGGCTAGGAAAACAAGGCCTAGGGGCAGCTCCCAGTGGGATTTTGAGATCCCTACCATGCTGTGAGCATCTCTTTCAAACAAGCAAGGAAGAAAAGCCTTTTCCAGATTCTTCAGACCCTCTCGTTACAGCTGTCTGAGACCAGGCTCATATATCCAGGGTAATTACAGGGCATCAATCACAGAAGCAAGTAATGGGAAGGTTGAGGGTCAGACACGCCTGTCTTGCCTCAGCAAAGCTTTTGGTGCTCAGCTGTTCCCAGCAGGTTTCTTCATCCCCAGCCTATTCAGCACAGAAAGGAACCAGCAGGAAGCAGTCAAGAGGCTGGCCACCCACTGAAAGGCTTAATGAAGAGCTGATGGACCCAGACAGGGGGAGGAGGTGGGAGCCATGTGGGAATCCCCCCCAGGGGAAGAGTCAAATCTAAAAATAAAGACCTGAGTTTGCACCTACCAGGGACAATCCAGGCTTTGAAATCAACAGGATGTAGCATTTGCACAGGCAGAATCCTGCTCATCGCTTAGAGATTGATGTATTTGCTTACTGCCCTGCATGACACTAAACTGCTGTCCAGCAAAACCAACGTGGAGTAAAGGGAGAGCCTGTAAGGTGGTTTTTGACCTTTAATCAACTCCAGCAAAATCAGGGTCCAGAGGAGAAGGGAATGCAGCCTCACAACAAAGGGGAATAACTTCTCCATTTGTGCCTCTAGGGAGGAAGGATATTAAGTCCTTTAAAGAGGAACTTTCAGAGGTACCATCTCTTCCTGGTTGTCCTTTGGCTATCATGCTTCTGACCTGCAGCGCTGCTTGTGCCCCGTGAACAGAGCATTGGCTTCTTGCTTGTGCAGGAGCAGCTCTTTGTTGTGACAGCCAGCTGTATCCTCCACGTGTCCTCCTCAAGTGAGCAGCAGCTGCAGGCAGGCCCCACCATTCAGCAGCCTCCTTTGTCCTGAAGCTGGAATGCTGTTAGCTGGCGCCACCTTCCAAAGGCCTTAAATAAAGTGGACAAATCAAATGCCAAGGTTACCCTTGAAGGATTGCAGCCACCCTCACAGTACCTGTACCTTTTCCTCTAGCAGTGGCTGTGCCAACTGCCTCACCATTCACTCAGAGCCTTCCCCTGTCTCCCCTATGTTCCTGTAACCAGTAAGTGAAGTGCAGAGCACACATCACTGTGAGAAAAGGAAGACCAATGCCCTCTCTGCCCTTTAATTTCAGTGTCTGCTCTCATCTTGTTAAAAGAGAGCCTAATCCTGCATGGATCTTTGGGAGGCAGGCAGAGGGGCAAACTGGGTTTTTGAGCTCTAAGGCTTTGACTCCTCACTCAAATTCATAGCAATTTGCCTGCCCCTGGGTGCAAGTCAGCACAGTTCTCCTGCACCACGGCGAATCTGTCTCTTCCCTGAGTGGGCTCTTGAGAGGCAGGGGATTATTGGATTAACATCTCTGATAACAGTGAGGAAAGGGGCACACATAAGGGAGATTGACTGCTGACACAAAGCTTTGAAAAACACCCAAAGATGAACTCACATAAAGCTGGAAGCTATTTCCCTTTGTTGCAGGCAAGTCCCAGTCCTTGATGTACTCAACTTCCCCCTAAGCAAGTGCTTAGTGCACTGAGATAGAGGGAACACCAGTTGTCTCTTTGGGGTGTCTTTTTGTCCACTGAGGTCCACAGAATTAAAGTAGTCATAAATGCTTACCTGAGATAGGAGGCTCCTGGCTTCCTCCTCCAGGAAGTTCTGCACCACACAGCTTTGCAGATGTCGTCGTCTCCACACTCTCCAGGCCTTTTCTATCAGCCGCTGCTCATCCTGCCAGGAAGAGGCAGTGCACAGATTAACTGCAGGCAAACTTCCTCACACCCTTCTGGTCCTACCTTGCTTCCAGTTGCTTTCCCAGATCCCTCTTGCATGACTTTGCATTGGTGAGGAACAAAGCTGACTACAAACAAAGCTCTTGCTGAACTACTGCCTCCCGCAAGTATTGTGGCTATTAAGTCCCAGTACCCTGGGGAGAGGACAATGCCCCACCAGTGCTTGCTGTATGTGCATCATCTTGTCCCATGGGTTGGACAAAGCACATCCCACACAGCTAATTCCCAGCCAGAACATGGACCTGTTTCATAGATGGCATGGGCCTGAGAAGAAGGGGAAGCCAAATGACAGCCCTCAGTAGGCTGTGGACACTGGAGGAATGTATCAGGAACACAGATGAGAATACAGATTATACTACTTGCTGTGAACTTGTTGCACAGGCTACAGACAATCTATATAAATCATCCTGTCTCAGTTTCCCATCTGTAAGATGAGGCAGAGCACAGTACGTGGCTATGCCAGTCTGCCATGCTGGCATTTCAAAGAGAAAGACAGAAAAGGTAGCCACAGGATTTCTGGTATTCACTGGTGCTTGCTAAATCCCCACGTCTCACCTCGCAGGATGTATGCGAGGCTGCTGGCAGCACAGGCTTGCCCAGTAACACCCATCACTGCCACCCTGGTAGCAGAACCACTCACCAATACTTGAGCCAACATCACCACCCTGCTGGCTTCTTTCCACTGGTGCCATCCCCTTGCCAGACAAAGCAGTCTCCTGTTGTGCTGCCACCGGCGAAGCACCACTGTGTGATGCCACCTCCTCAGATACTTCCTCCTATAGGCACAAGGGGAAAATAAGCTTCATGAGCCCAACTGCCCTACAGAGGGAGTCCTTCCCTGATGGCAGCAAGAAGAGGGAGCCTAGAGCCTTCACCTACCCAAGCCACTTTTCATCCCACTTCTCCAAGTCCACCTCTGCTTTGTTCTCCTGGATCCTTGCAAGCGTAGGAGAGGGTCCTACCACACCAGGTCTCTCTACCAGGTGAGGGAGCAGCAGCCTTTCAGATCTGTTTTGGTTCCTGTACATCACCAGCCAGCGGTGAATGGCACTGGGAAAAAGCCCAAGAGGGGCAGCAGGTGCTGAACCTTCTTCCCTGTCTCTTCTGCTTTCTAGGAAAGAAAAGAGGAATCACAGAGGAGCTAACCTCAGAGACAGAGAGGAAGAGATCAGAGCTACCATCAGCCTTTGATCCTTTGGCTCCTGAACACAGGAGCCATCCACAGTCCGTGAGCACCTCCTCCACAGAGCAATCCCAGTAATCTGGCTGGCAAACATTCCCCTCCTCACTCACACTCCCCACATGGCCTCATGAAAGAAAGAGAAGAGGGGGCATCTTCTTACTCATGGACAAAGACAGAGACATCTTCCTGCTCTTCCTAGCACCTATCAGGGTACTGCACTGCCGTGAGCACTGGGAAAAGGCTGCTGCTTTTGTCCAGTAGTTGCAGGCCTGCAAACAGAAAGAACAGAGCTGCAGCCAAGGCTAACACAATGCACACAGACAGCACACATGCAAACTAACATTAGAGATACACTTATGTTCATAACCCTGCAGGTCATTTAATGTGCTAGACCCCAGGCTGGAAACTGCACAGATGAGATCCCAGCAGGAATGACTCAGCCCTTCCAAATCAATCGACCTCTTTGTGGTTTGCTAGCTGTGAGCCCTTTGAAAGAAGCTGCAACTCTGACAGCTCGCTCTGCTCTGCAGGGATAGTGATTATCCCATCTTATCTTTGAGCAGAGAGGAAGGAGTGTTCTTGTCTCTGTGGTCAAAATGTCCCCATCCCTTATTGCTGTGCTCCAGATGGTGGCTGCAATCAGTGCCAGATTATGGTGATGAAGTTGCTTGCACAGTCTGTAAAGAATTTCAAGGCAGGGTCTAAGCAGTCACCACAGGTCAACCTCGTCACTCTATCGCAGTGCCTACTGACTCACTGAAAGAACAGGCAGTAAGAACAACTGTCTCATAGGGACCTTCATCTTTTCTTACTTGTTTTACTGTAGCCACAGATCCTAGGTGCAGAGCTTGCCGTCCTCTTGAGGCCAGTCGCCAGCGGTGACAGGCTTTGCCCTGAGAGGCTTCCTGCCACTTGTGCTTTCTCTGTCCCAGTACCCGCTGTTCAGCTCTCAAGAATTTCACCCTCCACTCAGTAAAGCTGACAGCCAGAACACGGTGCTCTCTGACCCTTCTAAAACAAGAGAGGGCTTCGTGCTGCCTCAGTCTACAAGCAGTGACATGGGCCCAGGCGACCAAGCATCTGAAAAGCAATACAAGCACAGGAAAGTGTCAGATGCCTGAAGTCATATTTCCATATCAGCACTAAACAGCCTCTAGACCAAATTCTACTTTCTCTCCCAACCCTGCAGTGTCATATGTAAGTGGTCAAAGCAAGCAAAAGAGCATTCAACAAGAAAAAGTCTGTTCCTATTACTCCTTCTGCAATCAATATTTATATATCTTTCTCCATGTTACTTATTTTTCCCAGTGCCTCAGAAGAAGAAAGAAAGAAAGGAATTAGATTGGTCTTTCATTTGAACCTGTGCCAGCAGCTGACCTTTGGGATGATGCCTGAGGAAGGCTTTTTTCTTATGGGATGAGAATAAAACAGCTAAAATCTCCTTTAGCATGGAACCCAACAGACTCCTTGAGTCTTAAATGCAGAACCTGGCACGGAAACTTGTTATCAAGATTCAGATTTTATGGTTTTATTGGCTGTCACAAACCTGCATACATGAGATGTACAACCAGAATCTGTATGGAGACAATTTTATTCCGAAAATACCAGTGTCTACAGGAGTTACTATTAACTGCACTGTAAATCTGCACCCACAATAATCTCTCTATATCTTGGAGGCTGATGCAGTCTTCCTCTGAAACCCCAGAAGCAAATCTGCTTTAAACTCCTGGCTTATCCTTTTGGTTCCTTGTTCCACTTGGACTTTCATTATGCAAATCATCCCACTGCACCATAGGGCAGAGGTGTAAATATCCTCTGCCTGGCAGAGCTTTGCTGAAGATCAAGAGAATCTATTGCAGGCTATCCTAGCATGAAAAATGCCCCCCTCAGAAGAGACAGGGCTCAGGCTGTACCATATCCAGGTGAGAAATTAGAAGCACTCTCTCATCAAAGGAGGAAGATTAATAGTGGAGACACTCTACAGGAAGGAGGGACATTAAGGACTTCTCTCAAACACAATTCCCACCAGGGTGCCACCTCACAGATTGATTTGCAGAAGAAAATGCAGTTGGGTGGGGTGAGTGCAGAGTCTCAGTATCACAGCCACTAAGGTTTTACTGGGATTTTAGTTGCTCTTTCCTCTTTCCTAAACCTGCAATTCAAAAGGCAATTTGCTAGGGCTAAACCTGCACTTCTCATGCCTTAAATTAATCCTTGGCATAAAGAATCTTATTTGTTCTTATCTTCCTGAATTACCTCAAAGAGAACCACCTCAACAATTCCTGGTCCACTGCAGCTGGACACTTCACTGTGTTTCAGGCAGAAAGTAGCCTCACACAACATAAACCACACACAAAACATGTTTCAATGAGAGAGCTACTGAACAACAGCTAAGAGAGATGTTCTTAATGATGGGCAGCAGACACCTTGCTCTTCAGATTGAATTCTTGTGTTTTGAGCATCTGCACCATAACATAAGCCTCCAAAATATACAACAGCTTCACCTAACTAACCCAAGCTCTAGTTTGAATACACTGGATTCTCTGCTATATAAACAGCTGTTCTCTCAAAAGCTTCCCTCAGTAATGCTTTAAGGGCTGGAAACAAACCTGTGTAGGAGAAGATGTTCCCAAAACAAAGCAGCATATTTCTGTTTCCTCATTTGGCAATACCATGTCTGCAGGACCAACCTCTTCTTCTCCTGACAGCTGTGCTGAGCCCATTGCTGCTGCAGCTCTCTCACAGCACGCTTCCCTGTGAGAGAACACACGAGCTTGCTGAGCTGAGCCCAGTGGTTTTCTTTTCAGCACAAAGAGCAAACACCAAATGGAACCAGACTTTTCTCTTTGAAAAGACTTTTCAATTTATAGGGTTTTTCTCTGCAATGCAGTCAGACCTTCTTTTTTTTTCCCTGTCCTTCTCCAAGCAAGGGATCACAAATCACTTCCACTCTCACCGGCAAGGCAATTTTCCATCAAAAACTGGGAGTGTCCCTTCCCTGCGTATAAGTACTTACAGTGTCAGCACTGAAAGTACAAGGAACCTCTTAAGGGACAGGATTAGGACTGTTAAGCAGCCTCAAAAGACAGACCCAGCTCCCATTGAAACAAAGCCCAACTGTTGGGTCTGAGGAGACATGTTCAGGCTTAGAATGCTGCATGAACTCCATTTAATGCCCCAGCTGCTAAAATGCACTGCTTGAACACTCCTTTGGTACTGCAGGTAAAGCAAAATCCACCCCTTTTCCAATCAGCTGCCAAAGGAGCATCTTCCCTAGCATAAAGCAGTGCAAACCAGCAGGACACATGTCCTGCTTATAACCACAGGAAGGCAGTGACACAGGCACTGACCCCTGGACTAGTATTGTCACTCCAGAGGAGTAGTGCAGAGTTACAACTGGAAATAGGACTTTCTCCATCCCAACCATTCCCACAGCATTCCTCTCTTACAGACACAAGTGCCGCTGGTTAACTCACTTTGCCAGCAGGAACGCCAACGCCACAGAGCATCAGCAGTCATCTGGCGAATGTGACACCTGAATCTCCGGTCAGCCTCCACTTTCTGGACCAGCCTCTTCTTCCAGAGGCTGAAAGCCACCTGGCAGCAATGAACTTCATGTTTTAGAGCTGCTGCTTTTCGGTTCCTATTTTCCACGGTCCAGTGGTGCCAGCTGAGAAAGGCTCTGAGAAAGACAAAGGTCAATGCATCAAATGTAGGAATAGCTCACAGATTCACAGCCTTGTAAATGAAATTTTAACCATAAAGACACATGAGGCCGTTTAGGAAATATATCTGATCTAATAACATCCTTTCCCCATTGAATGTGAGGGGAAACAATGAACAGGGCAAGCTGTTGGGAGTAAGGTGTTCTGTCCTGGCTGTGCCAAGCCTGTTGTGCTCTTCAACCGCTACATGAGTATAGAGCAAGGTCAGTTCAGTGGATAGAAAGTTACAAGGGCTTTTTATCAGCAGTGCTGGGCTTGCTCTAATTCATGAGGCATCCCATCAAACCAGAAATGACTGTTCAGATATAGTAATTTTGAAGCAGGAAAAACCACAATAATGGGCTGCAAAACCCTCCCTGAAGACAGAAGAAGATAGCTAGAGGAAGAATTTTCTTAAAAGCAAATGTAGAGCTCTCAAAACAGACAATTTTAGGCAACTCCTGGAAAGCACAATACCTACCGAGACACCTGAGTGAGCCTGCAGTGCTGCTGAGCCTTCACAAGTTGCTGAGTCCGAGCTGACCAGACAATGAAGTACCTCTGCAGGAACCACCTCTCTGCTTGGTGACAGCAACTCTTCACCTCCTTGTCAGAACTGCAGTCCTGTAATGCAGAAAAGTACAAAAAGGCCTTGAACTGCTGGTGTAATACAGTTATTCCATGCAGCTCAGCCCCTTCCCCTTGTGGCTGTGACTTCTATGATTGCCTAACTCCCCATTGCTAACATGAGTGTCTAACACACCCCTTTTAAATCCTTGACACCTGGCAGATCCCCAGCTCAGCTGGAAAATGGTAAGGAAGAGCTACCCTGAGAAATGCCTCAATCTCCCAAACCTTCTGTCTGAGAGAGAAGAACAAATACAGAACAGCAGTGAGACCTTCCATATGCTGATACTGAAACCCAAAGGCTCTTCGCTAAATTGGGCTATGCAGAAAACACCTGTACATTCACATGCACCACACCACTTTTCAGCCTCACCTCTTCCCATGTAGGACTGTTTTGAAGCTGGACGTTATTATCTGGACTCTGCAGTGCCAAAGACTGGAACTGACCTCCTGCAAACCAATTTCTTCCGCAAGACAAGAGACAGGGGAAGAGGGAAAGAAAGAAGAGGATAAAGCATCCAAAAGGACGGTGTAAGGTGACATGAGGTACTATCCAAAAGGAAAGAATTCAATCAGACCAAACAAGGGACCTCTGCTACCAGCATCCCAACTAATCTCCAACTCTAGTTAGTTAGTTCTAAGGATCTCCAACTCACCCAGATCCAGTACTCCATGGAGGAAAGGCGGCCTGCAAGCACAGCTCCCCACCCAGTTCAGCTGGCAGCTCTGCACACTGGTGTGGTTGCAGGAAAGAACTGTAATAGGGTATGTGTGTGACATCCTCAACAGTCAGAACAGAGGAGAAGCCCTGCTGGCTGCTGTCACTATAGCTGTATTCCTGCAGGTATGGAGGGAAGAACATGCTGTGAGGTAAGTGTCCTCGCAGTGGAATCACTCCGTTATTAATTATGGCCATGCCATTTACTACTCTTTTTGGCAAAGATTCAGCGAAATCCAGGATGCATCCAAAGGAACTGCAGGCTAGCAAGTACAGCTCTGGGGTGCAAACATGTAAGTGATGGGAAAGTTATTTCTATACTGAGAAAAGGAGAAATGGGCATACGTCCTTTCTCAAGTGACGAGGCTCTTTGTGCCTCACCCCTTTCACCTTGCAGCTACAAACAGCAGCAAGTGCACAGGAGAACCTCACTAGCTCAGTGCCTCCCCACATCACTAAATGTGGACTAAACAAGGAAGGCCACAGGCAGAAGTGACTTTACAATTTGATTGCCTTAAAACTCGAGGACCCCAGGCTCAGTGCTCTTCAGGCCTAAATACTAAGCACAGTTTGCTGATGACAACATCATGTTGAAGCAGAAATTCCCCCCCCCTAAAATCCTCAGACCTCCTCACCTTTTCCAGCGAGCTTTGAGAGGCCAGAGTAGCTGAAGCACTGCTGTCAAAGCCAGATGATGTTGAGAGGTCCTCAGAACACAGCACAGCAAGAGGTTCTTCATAGAGAGTCATGTGAGAGTGCTTAGGACTTTGTTCAATCGTCTTCAGTATGTGACACTTTTGGTGCCACAATTTCAGAGCTTTTTGGAGTCTACACTGCTCCAAAGCCTGAGAGAAAGAACTGAGACAGAACATACCGAGACAGCTGTGTGACTAAAAAGGGATACCAGAGAGGGACACTAGCACAGACATGATGGATGACAGATGGTACCAGAGAGTCAAATGGACACTACTAATGAAGGCAGGGTGCCAGGAACTGGCTGTTCTTCACTCACTTGGCTCTGTGATGCTCGCACAGCCTTGCTTTCCACAGCAGATAGACTCTCTGGAGCTTCACCTTTTGGCAGAAGTCATCAAGAGAGTAGCCTGTTTTCTCTGGAAACCATCTCTCTTCATCCCTCTTTGTCACAGTCTTGTCAGCTACTGAGCTTATAACTGGTCCTTAACCAGTTACAGAATGTGACAAGAGACAACATTTGTCAGAAGGTGTTCCTGAGAAATTCAACCCAGCCCAGCCTTCAAGCTGCTTCTTTTCAGCAAGGTTTAAGACTTTCTGCTACATTTACAAAGCAGAACAACAAATATCCCTGTAGCTTCACTCCACATCCAGACACATCCAGAATAACTAATCCTCTGCCCACTCTAGTTTGCTAATATCATGTATTATCTGAGCCTCTTTACTATTTGGCTGTTTTCATCTGTTTTTCACCATGCAAGAAGAGGAGGAAGGAGCCTAAGCACCTCTAACTCTTAGAATCAGCACAGGACTTCAAGCTGCTCACCATAATGCTGCCTCCATCGAAGGAGGAGGAAGTTTGCCATTGCCTGCTTATCACCTTCTCTGACCTGCAGCCTCTGAACCCACTGCTGGAAGTATTTCCTCAGTGATACTGCTCTGAGATGGGCCAGGTTGCACCTGTGAAGTGCCTTCTGCTCCACAGTCTCCTTCCATGCATAGAAGCACCTGAATACCAAGGAAAAAAACAAAAGTACATGATAAAACAAGTGTTCAAACTGCGTCTCCTCCTGAGACTGGGTTTGTTCAGGAATGACAGACAGAAGCTGTCACCTTCTGAGGTTCTATTAGTTTCTTGCATTAAAAAGCCCCTGTCATGCTGAGAGCACAGCAGCACAGTGGGTGTTCTTCGGTTTAGTCTTTCAGGAGGTCAAGACCAAAAAGCTTTGGCAGTGTACAGGAGGGCAACTCATAATGTCTCTGGCCACAGTAGTTCATTTTCATGTTTCTATCCCTACTTTTACCTTTATTAGCTCCTGAAGCAAAAGAATTTTACTTTACAGTACAATACCATGACATTGCCTGGGTTGGCTCTGACATTCCTTGGACTTTCACAGTGAAAAACATTTCACATGAAAAACAGCCTTCATCAACTTACCGGGCGACCAAGTTTCTTTGGATGCGAGTTGTCAGCGCTGAGATCTGTTCCTTTTCCAAGCATCGGGAACGCCACACCCAGAAAACGTTTCTTAGCTGCTTCTTTTCCAGCAGAGCACGGGCTTCCAAAAGCCTGGCTTCCTCTTTGCTCAGCAGCTCCTTCTGCAGGCGCCACAGTCTCAAAGCTACTATGTTGCAGGACAGGAAGAGATTGACAGGAAGAAAGATAACTTAGAAGACTTCAAACAACTTAAGTGTCACACAGCGCACATCCCCGGGCTGAACTCCGGCTGTCTGACAAAGGGCAGTTACGGGAGAGAGCTCACATTGCTGCAGCCAACAGCATCAGCAGCTCAACTGATCCAAGGAAGAAGGCAAAAGGTGCATGATACAGGGAGTGGTCCCCCCCGCACCATCACAGATACTGGCCCCGCTATTTGCAGGATCAGGCTCTGAGTCAGGTCAAAGCAACAACTAGCCACAAATCAAGAAAGATGGTGAAGCAGTGATTACCTCCAAGCTGTTCCAAGGCTATGGAATGTGTGCTTACCAGCTAGTCGTCTCATATCTCTGATTGCCTGAGCTCCCAAGCGGAACTCATCTCCTCTTTGCCTACGATGAAGCTGTGTCCACAGTTTTCCTTCCACCCTGAAAGGGTCACAAGATGCTTTAACATCCATCTGTCCAAAAAGCCACTCACAGAACAGAACCCAACTCCTTCCTTCTCCTTGGGTAGCTCTCTTTTTTGTCTGGACTTGTTCTTCTGCCTTCGGAATCAGAAGGCACAGCAAAAGGTTTTTCTTTTGACACCTCTAATGTCTTGCTAAAGACTGTAGTATTGCCTCACTCCAACCTCATTTATGCATGTACTCAATAAATAGTACAGGAGTTTTTCTGTCAGACACTCAGAAAACACAGTGCAAGGAAGCCCTGTGATAGGATTATTTAGTTCTTAAAACTAAGCTACTAATTCTTGTGGTGCTTATCTGCAGCAAGTACATCCAAGGACCTGGAAATAAGTTTGCCACCACAGGAGAAAAATTTCTCCCTGTGTTTGTAAACCGCCACTTGTCCAAGACAACAGAAAGAGAAGGCTCTCAGCTTACCTACAAGCCTGCTCAGCCGTCTTTGAGTATCCTTCTGTAAGCTGGTGCTCAGCTGAGGTTGTCATAGTTGCTAATCTTCCTACTTCAAAACCCCCCACTGATGAACTATGGGTAGAATACAGCTCAGGCTGTGGAGCTTGCTTCTTGCTCTCTTTTGCCACAGCTTCCTTCCACTGGAGGAGAAACCACATGATTAGAACAAACTGCAGGCAGTGTCAGGGTCCATGTCACTGAATTCTACATAGGGTAACCCCCTTCCTCCTCCCTATCCAAATAGGATTTCTGCCTTCTCCGACTGCACAACAGAAAACTCATGGCACCGCTCTACTGCCCCAAACCCCGTCCTCACCCTGTAGAAGCTGACAGCTAGCAGAGCTGAGGCATGCCTCTGCTGGGCCTCCTCTAGCTGCATCCTCCTCTGGCGCACAGCCCTCTGCAAAGCACCGAGGCCCTTCTGAAGCAATTGCTGTCTGTAAAGCTGCCTGGCTGCAGCACTTTTCCAGAGGACTTGTCTTCTCCAGGCTTGGAAACACCTAGCTAGCATTTGTCTGTCACGTAAGTGCTGGAAACTTAAAGAGAAAAGAGAAGTGAGCTCCAGTTAACAGAAAGTTAAACACAACCAGGAGGTGGCAATCAGAGTTCAGCCATCAAGCTGGAAAGAGGTATTTCAAATCAATCTCTCTAAAGAGTGAAAATCCATCTGCCTCACACCAGATTACAATATCGCTGTTACTAAATTGGCAGCAATCTCACACACATACACAGGTCACAGATTTGAATCCCATCTCCTGGATATAGCCAGTGCTTAATCTTCTCTAACTATGCAGTGAGCATGCTGCAATTTGCTGCACTGAGCAGTAGCATACAAGTATCATTTTTCATCATTCATCATACAAGTATCAGCAGCAACCAAGGTTGAATTTAGAAGGTAGAATTTAAAACACAGATTATTTTTTTAGAGCATATTCCACTCTAGATAATAACCCTTTGAAAAGAAATGAATGCAGACCCGGAGCCAGCCATGGCAGAATAACGCAGGTTAAGTCCTAAACCCAAACGATTCCAGAAGCATGGCTCCTTGTCTACTTCTCAGCAGTTTTCCTCTCCTGTCAACTACCAGTACACTCACACAGAAACACAAAAGGCTTTTCACCTTTGCTCATTCACCTTCAATGACCAGAAGCTGTTCTCTGAGACCTGCAAACAGACAAAAGATAAAAACTCACACGATTATTCACACTACTCTGTTGAAGAATGTTTGTTGCCACAACATCAAATCATTTTGGATGGAGACCAGAAGAGTGCTGCCTCAGGGTAGTGTATTATGCCAGATGCTTTTGACATTGCTCCACCATTGCTCTGTGAAGTATTCCAGACATGGAAAAGCATGACAAAACTGAATCTCAGGGCCACACAGCTACACACAGAGTAAAAACCAGTTTAATTCCTTCTGCACCTAGCTCTAGGGAATACAAACATGTGTTTACATTCCCAAGAACAACCAAGTTAATCTGGTCTTTAGGAAGAAGCATGTGAGACAAAGATGCATATGTTGAAATGGAGTACGACCATAAGAGAGGAGATTCCAGCCATTCAGTGCCAGAGAAAAGGGTAGGACAAGCATCCCATCACTGTTGTACCTCAACTCTGCACCTCTAGCAAGAAGCAGAAACAAGCACAAGTAGTATCTGTGAACAGGGTTGCTACTACTACACACCAAGTCCACTCTCACCTCTCTGGACACAGCTTCCTGTGTCTGGCTCCCTTCGTCACAGCACCGTGGTTCTTGGGCACTCCTCTCCACAGAACGTTCTTCAGACTGGTTGAGATTGGAATCAGCTTCCCAATTCCTCCAGCTCCTTTGCTGAGAGTATTTGTTTCTCCTTCTTTCTCTGCTCACATTCCTACAATCTACGTCAGAATAACCACCAAAGCCTTCTTCAACCTGAGTAATGGAAGGGCTGGACTGGCTGCTGCCCACCACAGCCATTCTGGCTGCTTGTGATCCAGAGTCACACACCTCTCCTGACTCTTTGCTGGACTTAACGTGAGGTTTGGAGTTGGTGACTTCTACAGATTTAGTACTAAGCTGCTGGACTGGTCTAAACTCTCCAGGAGTGACTCTCACATGCACTTCCCTTGGAGTTCCATACACAGCTACATCAACATTCATCTGAGCCTCCCCCAAATCTGTCTCCAGTGACACCTGCAGACCCTTTGGATAGATACTGGCTGGAAGGTCTCTCCTCCAAGGTACAGCACATGGGGATGCCCCATTAGATGTCTCTTCTCCTTTAAGAACCTTTTCAGGGGAATGACTTTTTGCGTGAACATAAAGACTACCAGTTTCAAGAGCTGGCTTTGCCTGGGACTGGCGTCTGAAAGGACGGGAGCAATTGCAGGAGGATTGTGCTGCTGTACCCACTAGCCCTCCAGAGCCCACCCCACAAGTGAGGGTTTCTGGCTGGATGTCACCCGAAATGTTGGTCCTCCATGTGTTTGAGTCAATGCATTCATATCTGTGCAATACAGAGACAGGGACTGCATGACTGAAGTCCCTTGTCACTGCATTAAGGCTCCAGTCTTTAGCAAATGGAGCACCCCATTTCAATCTTGCCTGAGTGGCACTGCTCTTTACTCCAGCTCGCTCTCCTGCACTCAGGATACTGGGAGCTGAATCATCAGGAGCAAAGCACAAACTGCCACTGACTGGAGAAGACCTGGGCTCCAGAGGAAGGGAGCCCCATATCCCCATCAAAGCACTTTCTCGCTTAAGCCTCTGGACTGCACAGTACAAGCTAGCAGAAATCTGTGAGGACTGCAAAAGAGTCTGAAGAGACTCCACACTAGATAGCTCAAGCTCCCCCAAGGTCAGGGCTGAACTAGAACAAGCATTCACACTTTCACTTGAGCTCCTTGAGGCAGGACACACCAGTAATTCCTGCCTAAGAAGGGAATCTACAGTACGAGATGATAAATGTGCACTGACCAGTAAAGGGTCCAGAGGATCCATACAAGAAGTAGCAGCAGGCTGAGGCTGTTGTTTTTCCACTGGATAGTCACTATTCTTGTTCCTACTTCTAAGCAGTGATGGTGAGCAGTGTGTATGGAGCAGCTGCCAGCTGCCTTTCTTTCTGATGGTGTTGTTGAGGTAAGTCAATACTCTCACTCTTTCTCCCTTCTAAACTGTAAACCTCAAGGTGTGACTGTCTCTGAGGAAGATTCACAGCTGGGAGCAGTGACAAAGCAAGATGGGGAATCCTATGTGCCACACACTTAGAGCTGTGCTGCTGCAGCCTAGGGCAGGGATTATTCTGCTTCTGGAAGCAGGAAATGGAGAACTGACTGGAGTGTCCTGCAGTGGCCAGGAAGGGCAGGAGGGATTAGTCTGTCTCAGACTGGGATCTCTCTTCCCAGCTGACAAAGGTACAGTACGCAGTTCTGCTGGCTGGCTGGGGGTTACACTGAATGCAGCAGCATCAAGCCAGTGATGAGAAATGTCTATTCAACCTGTGGTGCCCATACACAGATCAACAGTCACATTCTTCTGAATGTTGCTTTGCTCTGAAGAAAAATAAGAAGAAATACAAACAAGGAAGCATGCATATTTCTCATCACATCTAGCCTAGTTTGCCAAAGGCTTTAGGTACTTTCCTTATTAATTTCTTGTCTCCAATCCACCAGCCTTAATCCTGAAAGTATTATGGACCCTACTGTCTTCCTGTTTCTCAGCAGACAATCATGTCTAGCAGAGCAGGAATGCCTGAAGGGAACAGACACAGTATGCAACAGACAACCTGGAAAACAAAGACTTCCAGCATTACACATGCGCCTGCAGCCTCAAAAAGAACTTGTTGCTAGTAAAGCTGAATTATCTTGCTACCAAGACAAGGCAGACTGTAGCTGCTTTTCCAGAACACTTTATATCTAACCAGATCTGTGTGACATCAAACAAGAACAGGTATAAAAAGAAAATGTGTTTACAGGAGTCCCCCATGGCAGGTGGTTGGAACTAGATGATCTCAGGGTCCTTTCCAACCCTAACTATTCTATGATTCTAAGTCAGAGCAACGTGGTTCCAGCTGGAGTACAATGCTTACCCTCTTCATTGATTGGAAATCCTGCTTACATCTCTTCCATAATTGTATTTTCTCCAGGGCTGATAGGAAAGGTAGTGCCTTGACTTAAGGTTCCATTTAACTGCTTAACAAGTGTAAATTTGTTCATGTATCATGCTACAGCCCTGCAAAGCTTCAAACACAGGCCAGTTTCTTCTGTCCACATATCCAGAGAATCTGCATTGTCTCCTAACCTGGAAGAGTTACAACATAGATGGGAGACCTAATTTGCAATCTAGCCACTAAGGCAGATGATTATACATATAACACTCAAGCTGAGCACAGATTCTTAAGTTGCTGCTAACAGGTAAGTGCAATTTAAGGGGACTATGCTTTCATTCCCTCAAATTTTAAAAGCAAGCTGTCAATCACTGTCATTTGAAGCACCATTCTTTTCCACTCTCTTTTAAAAGGATGAAAATGGTATTGTGAAACACACACACACAGCTCTATCATCTTCAAAAAGCCCTAGTCAATCTGAAGAGAAAGACTGCACAGCCTATGAAATCAATGCCCATTGTCTTTTTCAAACACACTCAAATACCAGAGAGGCTCCTGTCAAAATGCACCCTGTTTCCAAACTACGTTTATCTCATTCTCTTCTAAGAAAGCATCTAAGCCTCAGTCATCCATTGCAAACAGCCCACTTGTCCTTATATGCAAACTCTTCCAGTAATCACCACAAACTGGGGAGTAAATTCAATTACTAAAGCAACAGGAGATAGTCATGCGGTGTTGCAATTATCCTTGGGAACTGCCATTACTGCCTTTCCTACATCACCAAGGGTACCATGAATGGAAAGATCCTATTATTTTTTCCAAACAAGTAGAAGTTGGCAACTACAGAGTGAACAGACAAAGCGCAGTTGCCTTCTTTAGGGTGCCTATCACTGCATGAAGTATAACCACAAAATACAGTAGACTGGTGTTTCCTAGAAGCATTCCTTGCATCCCAGAAATAGCCAACTAGCAATGCATCACAAAAGGGTATTGTAACGGATTTGAACTACAAAAAGACATGAAACCATCATGTTTATGAGTACTGTTTTGCTCCATGAACACCTGGAACCTGGCACTGGACTACTTTATACTCAAGAACCTAAACATAATCTATTTTCTTGATAATTCATGCCATTGTTTTCAGTTGTCCATTGCAGTTTGTTTGGGCAGGTACCAGGTTCTCAACACATCGCCGTGGTTACTTTAGCTGGTGTTCTTCACCTGGCTCATTCCTCATTTCAGTCTCATTGAGATCAGGAAGAGACAACATCCTTTAAAAACCACCTTTGTCTGCCTTCCCAAAATTGTCATTCAGGACTTCAGTACAACCCCTTTTAAGCAGTAATTTGTCTTACTCAAAAGGGAACAAGATCTTATGAAGTGCTTTCTTAAAACTTCTTCCAAGGCCAAAAGAGATACTCAAGCAAGCCGCAGATTTGCAGCATCCATGACCAATGGATTTCATATGAGCTTTGATGTTTCCAGCTGAAACATTTGAACACATGCTTGCTATATACACTTTGCAGCAATACAGCAACACATTAAAACCTGAAACTTACCCAATTAAGCAAACAAAAATTAAGCTGATCAAGGGACTTCTGCTGTTATAGGCAAAAGGAATAGCACAGCTCATGAACAGCAAGTCAAGCTCTTTCAGCCGGATGCTGTTTTAGCATTAGAGTAACAACGACAGACCCATTACAAACACATACATAAGCACTGCACAGATGATGCTCATTTCCCCCACCCTTACAGAGCCATTTCACACTGGAAGTTGGGACTGGCGATTGGCACAAGAACACCTTTCAGCTGCCTTAGAAAACAAGGCTTTTCCCCCACTGCCCAGCCTTACACACCAAACCATCGCATGAGCCTCTCATTGCCACTCAACAGGCACTCACACGTAAGAGGTCTTCTCTCCACCACAGAGAGGGCAATTACTGCTCCCGTACCAGCCAGGAACCAGCTGCTGCACTGGGACGCGGTGGTGGGAGCGGGATGTCCATCACCCACAGACCCCAGGCCCTGCTCAGCGTTCCCAATGGCTCCCAGCCCTCCATGGGCACACTCACACCTCTCCTCACGGCCGCTTACTCACTCCGATCGCTGGGCCTCGCCAGAGCCTCGGGGACAGGACACCCACCTCCTTGTTACCCGCACCTTTGTCCCCCCCTTCAATGCCCCAAGGCCGGCAGCGAGCTCGCTCCAGCTGGGTCGCCGTAAGCAGCTTATCGGCCGCGATTAGCAACGCCGCCGCTCACCGGGGCTGCAGATGGTGCCGGGAAAGCCGCTCCTCGAACCACGGCTCATTAAAGCCGCGTCCTGAGGGCGGCACAGGCGAGGCGGGACCCGCCTGGGAGGGACCGGTTACACACAACTCCCCCCCCCTCCTCACCACCACCGCGGGCAGCGCCTCAGGAGAGCGCGGCCTGCTAAGGCCAAGGGCCCGCGGAGGGGCCGGGCCTCACCGCCCGTGGTCCGTGTGGGGAGCTGCTCCCTGCTCACCGCCCTGAACCCCGGGCACGTCAGGAGCTGAGCATTTAAGAAACCGAAGGAAAACGCCCTGAGCAGGGCATGGCGCCTGCTGCCCGTCTGCGTGAGGAGCCCCGCGGTGAAGCCAGGCTGCTCCAGGAACCCCCCACAGGCCCGGCTGAAGCAGGTATTGAGCCAAGAGCGTGTTTGGTGTAAGCGCTGCTGAAACAAAACCCCTCCTTCACGGAAGTCAGCAGAGGGGCTTCGTTTTTATCATCACCTTTCCGATTTACTTTACCCAAAAGAGGTGCCTTTGAGCCTAACCTAACTCCTGCCTTGCTCTGCTTCCCTGAGCTCTCAGATGTGCCACAGAAGAGCACACAGCAGGTCAGCTAGGTGGGCATTTTGCACTGGAGAATGGCTGGGAAGGCCTCACTACCTGCAATGCTCTACACAAATAACTGTGCAAATAACCCAAACCCACTGCATTTAAAGCGGTTGTTTGCAATCTGGCCTTCGTGGGTCTAGGGAACAAAGAAACCGAGTGTTTTGGTGTGTTGTACAGGGATCTGTGCCATCACTGCAGTTCTGAAGAGCTGAAAACCACATGAAGGTCTGCCTCCCTATTCTTCCTTCCCTATCTGATCACAAGAGTAGAGTCATTCCTTTTGTCATGCTGTGTTGCATGGCAGCCTGCAAAACGAATGCACAACACTCACCTGGGGACAGTAAACCAGGTTATCACACTTTTGTGCATAAGAGTAGAATACTTACAGTTTGTCACACCCCATGGAGCTCACCACTGCAGTGTAAGTCAACCCATCTTTTCCTTCCCCAATCTTCATTTTACTAGCTCACCTTCCCACCCACATACTTGCAAGCAGTACCCTCTACTTGTCCACGTAAAGCTTAGACTAAAAGCCATTGAAGCCCCATAGACTTCCCTCATAACAACTCTTCCAAACCCTCAGGCATACCTACATTTTCAAATGAGACAGAAGTGACCAGTGTAATTTTTTCTCGTAACGCAGAAAAAACTGTGTTCATTTTATAGTTTTCTTAGAAAAATGTAACATTTCAAATTCTGTTAAGATAGGCAGCTGAAGGCAAAAGGACATTTCAAGGCACAGAGTATCTATAACCTACATTCAACAGCCATTTTAAGTATCCTGAAGAACATTCAAATTGCATAAAAGCATCAGTGAATAAAACCCAACATTAGACGCTGGGAGCACAAGCAGCATTTTATAAGCATTTTATACCAACCCCAGCTTTGTACAAACCACCACAGCTAGCACAGGGAGTTATGGTCATAAATCTTAATGCCATCAAAAGCAGCCCTCAGGAACTCCCAGATGTTTCCTGGGAACTATCTGCATAAAAGCAAGCTGAATGGTATTGTTTTAAGGCTCTTAAAAATATAAGCCTTTTAAAGATAGCTTGTCCAAGAATATTTTGAGTGGTTCCATTACTTACAATAGAGAGGATGCACAATACAAGACTTGGAAGGCTGCAGAAGGTGCATCCACTCATACATACAGAGGCGGGATTTAGGGGAAGGGAGGAAAGGAGAGTAGTGGGATTACAAAGAGTCACAGTGTTTAACATGACACCTCTGAGTGTCTTCTGGACTTACTGCAGCAACCCATCTGCCTAACCTTCAGAGAGGCAAAAGAAATGAAAACTCAGGTCCTCTGCTGTTTGCTCAGTAGCAAGTCTTGCTTCTTCAGAGCAAACATGGGAAGAGCAGAAGGCTAGACTGGGTGAGGGAGCGTCTGTTCTCAGTTGTGGAGCAGGGCTCAGTACGGATGCTGGGCTATCTTGCTTGAGTCAGCCCACTGTGGAGGGGCATCCTGCTGATCAATTGGCTCATAGGTGCTGCGATCCTGGCCTGCACAGGTAACACCTGAGTGGAGATGGAAGAGAACAAGCTTGTGAAAAAATGCAAAAGCACAAGAACAGAATCCTCTAGAATAAACCAACAGCTTAGGAGCACATGTCATGAGCTGCTCTGTGACCTCCCTGGCACCTGTGTTCTGTGATCCTCACTGCACAGGCAGGATATGGGAAAACCCATCCTTTCAACAAAAGCAAAATAGCCAAGATGCATTTGAACATGCTTCTTCATTCCCTGAGAACTGCTCTCTTAGTAGCCACATGGCTGTGTGGAAAGCAAGACTTGCAATACTACGTAGCAGCACGAAAAGCTCCTGTAATAGCATCTTTCAGCAAGATCAAGTTTAAGAGATCTAGTGGGGAAATGAACAGAAAAACCAGAAGCAGCAGGAACCATGGCTAGCTGTCAGCACAGATTTAAGAGCATGAATCATCCATGAACCACTTTATGCCTCAAGTGTGCAACACCATGGCCCTAAATTTGAATTCAGCAGTGCTCCCAGTTCCACTATGAATATGTGTCTATGGTATAAGACTGGCACAAAATAGTGTTACTGTCCAGCAGGCAAGCAGGGAAAGATGACAGACAGAGAATGTGCATGGACAGCTCTTTATTTATAGGCCAGGCATCTGCCATGGCTAGAAAGCAGTGTGAATCAAAGGCGGGCACCAAACTATATGAGAGGCTTGTCTGAAGCAGCAAGGATACCGCCAAGCAACAAAACCAGATTTGTGTGGAAAGCAAACAAGACAAGAGAAGACTAGGAAAAATGCAACATTGTTAGGCTCAAAAGGAAAATGCCAGATAGCAGGAAAATGAGAGGAAATGTGTCAACCACATTCAACACAAAACAACATCCCAGAGTTTGTATGGAAAATCTTGTGAGAAAAGCAATTCAGGCGAGGGTATGAAACTACAATGTGCCAGAATTCCAACCTGTGCCTGAAAAGAGACTTTCAGACAGTATCATGCCTGTGTTGGTATAGTGTGGTTGAAAAGGAGTGCTCCCAAATTCCACCCAAAGGGATGAACTCCCTACGTTCCATGGGATACAAATGTCAACCCCCAGTTACAAGCACATTGAGCAGCTAATAAAAACTGGCACAAACATGGCCCAGAGCAAGGCAATGTAGTTGACTCGCAGGCCTTGTGACCCAGTTCAGACAGCTCTGTCAGGCATTTGCACAAATAGATGATGGAGAAAACATCCACATTCTGTTTGTAGGGAGATGCACATAGCACACAGTGCCTCAAGCCATGGTTTCCTTCCATGGCCTCTCCTCTTTTCACAGGAAGCATTATGTTTGCTAGCACCAAAGCAGCACAAATGACAGCTTTCAAACACTGTCATGCAGTTATACCACCCCTTTTCCTGCATGGCCATCTTAGGGAGGCAAAAAGATAATTGCACCAGGCTGCTGGTTTTGCCAAGGTGAACTTCCACACAGCAAATAATCCCTGGCAGCTGCCCCAGCATGAACTAGCACCAGGCATGCTTGGCAAAGCTGACTGAGACTCAGAACATCCAGCCACAGCCCCTTCTCTCTGGCAAGGCTGCCACACTATCATTAGCAAGTACAACCAGGAGAAAAATGAGTGCCTTCAGGCAAAGTCCCATGAGATGGGCATCAGTCCCATTTTCCAGGTGAGGAAACGGAGGCCCAATAACTAGGACATGTGAGGCCCAGGGAAAGCATGGAGTTAGAAATCCAGCTTGCTTTCCCTCTCATGTGTAATCCAGCTAAAGGAAATGCTGCCTCTATTTTCCCCCAGAAGGAAAAGAAAGGGTTGGCAAAGAGAGAAGGACACCAAAAATCTTCCAACAAGCATGCACAAAGGCAGGAGGAGGAAGAGAGGACAAGCCTCTCAGCTACATTGAATAAGAGAGACTGTAGTCTCTCTTACTCTCTCACAATACCATTGTGGGCAAAATGGATGTCAGATGAGGACTCCATATCTGCAAGGGAAGAGAGGAAGAATGTAAATTTAAGGCCTAAGACACACCAGGACCACAAAATGGGAGAACAGACGTATGAGAGAGAGAAAGAACATGCACTCCCCCCTCCTTGGAAAGGAGGCAGAATCCAGCTGCACAGAGCTCAGGCTGAAGGGTCCAAAGTGCAAGGCAAGTCAGTCCTAACACCAGTGGAGGTGGCCTACACTGACATGGAGGCAGAGGAAGCATCCTACCTAAGTTAAAGGTGTACTCTCCTCCACGCTCCCGATACATTCGATACACCAGGTAGCAGGACAGAGGTTTGAGGAGGAGGCTGAAGATGGCCATGCCTATACTGAATCGCTTCGCATCAGTGAGATAGCTGTTTGGAGGGTAGAAGACAGAGACGTGAATGATGTCTGTGAGGACTGTGAGCAGCAGGCCAGTCAGGAACTGGAAACAAAGAGAGAATGGGACATGAACTGAATAGGGGATTAACCACAAGGAGAAGCAGTTACAGCATCTGTTTCCTGCAAGATCTGTGTTCACACAATCATGCCTTCACCTCAGTATCACACATTACTAACCCTTGACACTGCCCCAGGTAGACAGAGAATCCTCCATGAATGATCTTGTACTTTTCATGCATTTTCTTCACATCTGTCAGACACCTTCTCAGGATTGTTTAGTTTTGCTTGCCAATCTCTTTAATGTTCAGAGAAGGGTTTTATGAAGCCCTCTAACTCAAGCACATTAAACACTTTGAGTCCTCCTCTGGCTTTACAAGTCACAACAACAGGTAAAAAAGTAAGCATGCCTTACCTCTGAGAAGCAAAATAACTGATAGTGAATGCTTCTCACTATGGTTTGCAGTGCTCATAGATTTATATGCTCTCTTAAAAAAAAAAAACCCAAACTAACCCAAACAGGAAATTTGACTTGTTCACAACTGAAATCATCACGAACTCAAAAAAGCTGTCTCCACCCTCTCCCTGAGCAGCCTGGTGGAGGCACATACCCTGACACTCACCATCAAGATGGCATCAAGGGAGTCTCGCTGCACAATGGCCCAGATCCCCACTGCAAGGACACTGAAATTTCCCCAGGCGTAGGAGGCTGGAAACATGTGGTTCATGCATCCCCTGCCAAACAAGACAAAAAACCCCAGCCCACATTCACAATAAGCCTGCAACTGTTTGTTTTGTATTCACCCCTGTTCCCATACAAACACCTCACTCTGATTTAAGATCTTCTTGCACACAGGCAGGCACAAACAGGGAGTGCCAATTCCCCAAGAATATCCCATTCCCAGGTCGAAAGAATACTCCGTTCTCACCCAGTTACCAATCACTCACCACACCGTGAGCAGCCAGTGTACCAGAATGATGGCCTATGGAAAAAAACAAAACAGAGAAGACGACAGGTCAGCAAGTTGAGGGAACTCGAGATCAACATGAAATGACACTATCTTTTTTCCAAGGGACAGGTAGAAAACTCTGGACCCATGAACCAGTGCAGACAGCTGGCAGAGTAACTGGGACATTGAAAACACAAACCCATTTTTCTCTCTGTTGCTGACTGTTTCCTGTGGTGCTACACTGTAGTCATTCATTCTCGTTGTCATCCCTTTTGACAGTTGATTCAAGGCTCACTTAGTCTTTTCTAAATGGGTTATTGATTTTGGAACTCCAGAAGAGTTTGTACAGAAAGCTGGGCAATCTGTTTCACACTATGCTAGCACAGTTTATACATGACCAATCTGGCATCCCATCACCAACAAGGCCATGGATAGTTACGCCTGCAGCTCCCAGCAATTTCACTCCAGTCCTCAGTAAATCCTCCTTTTACCTCCTTCCAGTCTCTTCAGAGCAGCTCAACCTCACTGCAATATTAACAGACCTGAAGGCAACTTGTAGGAATCTGAGAATAAAATCCTGCCATAATACACAGCTTTTCTCACTTCAGCAAAGCCACCAAGGCTCAAATGTGAGCAGTGCCCTAAGTAGCAATAAGATGACGCTGTAACAGATTCTGTACTTTGCAAATGTCCTTTATGAGCCTCATCCTTGTGCTCAAGGGGACAAATACAAGGAGAAAGCATCTTACTGTAACAAGCGACACAAGGATTCTCTTCACCAATACTTGACATTTCTGTAACCAAGGAGACATACTCTACATGTTTATTATGACAGCAAATGGGAACAAAAATATACCACTTCCGTCTTTTTCCATCCCTATATCCATGTGCTCACTCTTGTTGGCCAATCTCAAAGGGAGATTACTCACACTGACTCTCTAAACATTTGTTAAAATCAGAATATGGAAGACAGCCTCACAAAAGAAAGGCCGAAGCCCAGATACATCAGAGGATCCACGGGAATTAGGCATTCTTCCATTTTTTCTGGCTGTGAGAAGGGCTCCAACTGGCACTTATATTGACCCCAGACCCCCACATACTCCCACAAAAAAGAGAAACATAAACTAATTTGGGAAATAAGTAGCGAAAGGCTCAATTATTCAGTGAACGCTGGAAAGCTGCAGGGAGATGGGAGCACTGAGACACTAAAGAAAAAGAAATTTAAATTTAAGATTTACTGACATCCTGCTACATTCATTGACTTAAAACGTCTACCCAGGCTTTAACTTAATGCAAAACTAGTTGCTCAAGAAGAGAGTTAATCACCCACAAAGCTGTGATGGGAGTGAAGCACAGCTGGGAAATCAACAGCAGTGTCACATCTGCTGTGGCTCACGGTGCTCTGTGCAGATGGGTTCGGGGAAGACAGAGCTCTTGCTTCACTGCAGCACCCTGAGCGTTCACCCAGAGTAGCCTAGACTTTGTCACAACTTCACTTCAGACCCTGCTGAAACAGATTTTTATTAATGATTTCTTGTAAGTGCTCATGAAAGCCTACAAAATGCTTCATCACCACCCCCTGCTCTCCCTTCTCCCAAACTGTACCATGGAGACCAGGCAGCAAGTGCTAATCAGTGAAATACAAGATGTTCTAGGATAAGAATGGAGACGTGCAAATAGCATTTACTCAAGAGACTATCGCAACATCAGGGAAATTCTTAATGAGGTGGTATTTAATTGCATGTTACATAGCTGCAAGTGCCCTCCAGGCTCACCAGTTAACATAATGAGGCAGGATGGCTTTTTATTTTAAAGCTGTCTAGATCAATATTGCAGTTATTACATTATGAAGCATGCTTAGTCACCAGCATTAACTGATAGTATGAGGGACTACTGAAATAAACCCAAGGCATTCCCATCCTGGTTATTAGCCCCATACCTGACAGTTCTTCAGGGCACTATGGAATCAGCTGGTGGGTTTGGCTTCTGCTCTAACACAGAAAATGGAGTGTTAACGAAAAACGTGCTTTAAAGCCACAGTTGCTATGTGAGATTAGCTAGTTTGCAGGCAGTCTCCTGATGAGACAGCAGAAGAATCTAAATCTTTTCCATCTGTTCAAGGCCTTAAGACTGTGCCTAACAAAAGCACATGATGCAGAATAACATCCATTGCTTCTTTTGGGAAGGTAACTCCTAAGACTTGAACTAGTGCTGAGAGCAGAAAATAAAGGTGGGACCTCTGTCTCCATCTCTTCCGGGCAGAAGGATGATCATGTGATTAAAAGCATCCCATTGGAAACTGGGAAGAGCTCAGGGGAATTCCTTGCAAATCTCAGCATGTGATGGGATGGAACTAATTGCCAAGCATAAAAATAGCCTAGGTCTGCCTGGGTCTCATTAGATGGGAAAGTCTTTGGAACAGGAACTCCTTTAAACATGCTTCAGCACAAGGTTGAATTTTGACTAAGTTCAAAATTACATGGTTCCAAATTACAGTTATTTTCTTGTAGTATCCAACTTTTAAAGTTTTATTTACTCTTCTTTTTGGTTTTTTAAGTGAGCTCATCTACTGTGTGACATGCTCACCTGAGGATGTGCTAACCAAAACACAGATCTGAGTGGCCACCTGTGAGCATATTCACTATTGAAACAGAGTGATGGTAATGAGTAGTTGGGCAGTGGAACAGGCTATCCAACAGCCTTGTCATGGTTCTATCTTTAGGGATTTTTAAAAGCCAGCTGAATTTTGAGTTGAACTGTTAGATCTAACTTTGAAGTTAGCTTTGCTTTGAGCAGGAGGTTGGATTAGATGACATACAGAGGTCTCTTTTAGTACGAACAATTCTGTGATCCAGGATTTCAAAATGCCCAAGCACAAACTCTATGTTTCCAGGCACACGGATTGTAGAGCATTGTCCAGACTTGATCAGACTCAAACTTTGTATTTTAAGGCTCTGCATAGTTATTGTAATAATCCCAAGCGTCAAGCATTCACTGCAAAAACATGGCTATGCTGCTTCCCACATGCTTTGCTGATCGTTACTATTAGAGCTGAGCCAGTAGAGGATGTTCCTCATCCATTCTAGGGCAATACCTGCTACATGAATTTTATAGCTCTCGAGTAGCTCAGAGACACCTCAAGCCTAAGCCATTGCTCCCTCTTGGAACACGCAGAGTTCAGTCATGCAGTTTTCTTGGAGCTGCTTCTATCACGAGGCTCATCTTTTTTTTATCTCACAGAAGCTGTAAGCAGAGCATGCCAACAAATACCAGTGGTGTGTGTTATTTCCAGTCCCTTTCTGAGTGTCTTTCCCACCTTTGCAATACGTTTCAAGGAACCAGACCCTAACTCAGGAACAGTACAAAGATGAAGGTACAGTTATTAACTCCTTGTCCCCCACCTCTTCAGCTGGAGAGGAGTACCATCAGACTTGACAACAAGGAACTTCTCAATGCTGCAAACAGTTTGCCCAAGACAAGCTCACTCTTATCAAGTAAGAGACTTGGGAATTGTTGTCTGAAGCCAGAGAAGAAAGACAACATTTCAGTTGTGCTCTCACAGGTGACTCATTCATTCAACAAGTCTGTGTTTTCCAGCTCCCCTATCTCCACCTCCCCTGGTAGAACATGTATTTCATGCTAGCAAACTTATAAATCAAATGTCCTTATTTCTCACTGTTGTTTTTAGCATGGGGAGGGGGGGAATCAAACCCAGTTTAAAAATTAAGTAGAAGGAAAGATCTTTCAATCTTCCTAATGCCCTGGGAACCACCAAATAGTCCCAACTTGTCAGAACAAAACATGAGTTCGTTCCCAGATGGTAATGCAATGGCCTTGAAAAATTCATTTGGTTACTTGCCTCTAACAAGGGAAGTTGCTTTTCTTGGTGAACCGGTAAGAGGAGGAAGCATCGTTTTATGAATGCCAAGCTTTTATTTAGCACAGCCCCATGAAAGCCTTCCTCTACAAAGCTGAATTCATAACGGCAGCTGAGATAATGCTGTCCTCCCAGCCAACCTGTAGGCAGCCTGCTCCAAGGCCACAACTTGCCAGCTTTACGGATCAATGGCAGAAAAACCTGATGTGATCAGTGGGATTAATTCTCTGGGTTTTAACCAAAGAAAGCACCTGGAACGTGCTGTACCAACCAAGATACACAAAGGAGCGAAGCTGGGAAAAGGCACCTACCCCGACAGATACCAGGGCTCTGAAAACAGGGGAGACAACAAGAAAATAAGAGGAAAAATTCTGGTATCAGGGAAGGCTTCGACATCAAACACCAACATCAAAAGCAAAAAAGGGATGTTAGCATTCTCCAGCTTGTCTGCAAGGATGCGCTTCTTCCCAGAGTGAAAAGCTTAATGTAAGTCCTTTACATTAAGTGCTGTAAGTCCCATATTTCCCACTTCTCTGGTGACCAGATATTCACCAAAACTTTCACATTGCCCCCAGCGGAATCCCCTCCCAAGAGAGGGCCAATTTCAGTTATCACACCATAACCCCAAATCAGCGGGACCACCTTCCTAAGGTACTTTTCCTGACAAGCACAAACTTCGCCTCCTCGGGATCCGTGCAGTGTCGCCGCTCTGACTGCCCAAGAGCTTTGGTAACGGGTTGGAAACACCAGCCCTGCCTCCTCAGAGGCCTGCACGGCTCCGGACCAGGCCCTCACACACGTCCCGAACAGGGGAGGGCAAGCTCCGGGAGGCCGCCCGGCGAGGAACCGGAAGGACACCCCCCCCCTCCCGGCGGAGCCCCGAACCGGCTGGCGGCCACGGGGGAACAGCCGGAGCGGGCCCTCCCCGCCGGGGAAACCCGGGAGCGGCTCGGCCCAACGGCCCCTACCTTGAGGTTGACAGCAGGCAGCTCCATGGCAGCGGCCCGCCCGCCCCGTGACTCCGGCGGCGGCTGCGGGGCCGGCTCCGGGCCGCCCAGGGGAGGGCGGCGGGGCGGGGGGAGCCGGGACACCGCCCCGCCAGCCCCCTCCGCCGTGGGGCACCGGCACCGGTGGGAAGCGGAGGCCCGGCACCGTGTGTGTGCCCGCTCAGCTGGAGCGCGGCGGGTGTCTTGTGAGACGGCCGTGCTGCAGGCATGGAGGCAGGCCGGGTGCTCTGGCTACCCGATGGGTATGGCACAGCGCTTGCTTCCAAACCGGAGAGCCCCCACTTGGTTAAAAGTGCGTCTGGATGAGTTTGTTGGCTGCAAACGCTCTGCTGCTTACACACGTGAGTTTGATGTTATACCTGTACCGTAGTCAGTGCTCAGGAGGGCTAACGCGTGTATAGGAGGGAGATAGAGAAGGCTTTTGTGCACGCATCAGTACTGTGACAAAAAGGTGAGGAGTGACAAAGAGGTTCTGGATAAACACCAACAAAAAGCAGCTGTGAGGTGCTGCCTGTGCTCAGTTGTGATAACCCAGGCAAGTCAAGGTCAGTCTTTGGGGTTGAGCACTCCTCTCTAGCCATGCAGCTGGAATGGCTGGCAGATACTGCTTCCTTTGGCCCCAAAGTTTTCCCTAGAACTCAATGTCTGAACTCTCTGACTAAAAGCCTGGGATAAATCCCAGGTTCTCCATCTCTCATTCTGGAAGAAAGCTCATTCCATTTCAGAGCTAGGGCAGCTGATACATCATCACCCCAACCCCACACGGTGCAGCTGTAACTTACAATTTCCTGTCCAGTTCATAATGAGCAGTCTTCTCCCCAGGTGTGGCAAATGAACTAACAGAGCCAAGAAGTCAGGATGACCCCTCTCAAATCCTCCTTTCCCTTCCCAGTGTATGCTTTACCTGCAGTGTAAGACTACAGTATTTTACTGGGTCAGTTGCTTTCTTGTCATGTATTCCTGCAGAAAAGATGAGGCCTCTAAGGAAGGAGCCAGGAGTCGGAAGTTCATTGCAGAAGCTGAATGTGGAAATGTGTGAGTGAGTCATCCTTCAGTCTCATTTCCAGTCCAAGCAGTGCAGTGCAAGGTTATGCATGAGAATTGTGCATAACCTACACACAGACATTCTTCAACAGGTCACAAATGTAGCTCTATCTAGCCTGTTCTTCACTCTGCCCTGAGTGCTATGAACTGCTAGTATGCAGCATGCTTGAAGATCTCCCAAGGCAAATTATTAAATGCCAAAATAAAACAACCTAGAAAATGCTAACTAGAGGAAGCAGCAGAACAAAACTGACTGGCTGCATGGCTCACAACAGCAGTAGAAAAACAGGCTGCAAAAGTCCCCCCCGTAGGAATGTCTGAATGTGCCACTTTACCAGATGAACGACTGTGCTATAACTCTTCCATTGCTACATGACACATCAGCTGTGACTTCATTTCCATTTGTGTCTTGCAGGGAAGCCCTGCCTCTATTCCCAGAAGTAGTGGCATCAAATGGGATCAATGCTAGTGGGCCCAGTAATGTTAAGGACTGGATTTTACCCTACATGACAGAAAGAAGATGTGACACCTACAATGGGAGGAAAGATACAGAAAGACTTTGAATAGCCATATTGCTGGCTCAGTGCTCGAGTGCAAAGGGTGGGTGCAAAAATATCTATCAAAGGAGAACTGTTGGTTTTAGAAAGACAAATTCCAGTGTCTCAGATTAAGTACAGCACTGTTTGGACGCAGCAGCATGTGGGCATCTTTGCTCCTTTCAGTCTGAGTGAGGCAGAGTCTCATTACCATTTATGCAGCATGAGCCATAATTTGGATTGATGTGAGTGCTGTTCAATGCAAAGCATTCCTTTTGCCTTGTACAATAAAAGCACTTTACTTCATTTTGTTCATCAATGTATCGTGCAATTAATTCAGCCATGCTTATTATATTCTGGGCTTGCATGTCATGGACTCAAGGGATTTAGAAACATCTTAATGATCTCACGGCTATGAAAACAATGAGAGTGATAGACATTATGCATTTGCACATCTCTCACACCTATCTGATCTGGGGGAGTTGGTTGATTTTTATCTCTGCTTTTGCAAATGTTATCTCTGCCTTGTAAATTGCCTCTCTGTGTAACCTGCTGTCTCTGTCCCCTTCCCTAGGCTTGATAACTCAAAGCAACATCAACATGGTGAGACAGATAAGCACCAAGTTAAAGAAGACCTGCAGGGAGATGCGGACAACCCAGGAGACAGGGTACAGAGATTTTCCTGGCCTAGAAGGCTGATGCAGGTGAGTTCAGCTCACTGCAACTAATACCCAGCAATTAGCTGCTTCAAATACATTGGTGGTATGTTTTGTGCAGGCTGAGTAAAAATCTAACACACAGCTGGCTTCCTTCCCGACAGCAGAAAAGTGAGGCTAGTAAGACAGACATGTTTTCCTTTGTGTTTCCAGGACACTGTACCCTCGGTGGGTAAGGTAATACCAATTCCATGGGGAAGTAGAGGAGCTGATAACAATTACTTGTGCTGCCCTTATCTAGCCTGTGGGGATGGAGACAACCTCACCCCTCATAGTTGTGCCCTTCTTCTGCCCTCACTTGAGGTCTAGTCTGAAGGTAACTAAAGACTGCAGCTGACACCAGTGTCTTTAAATTGTGCCCCTGGCTATGGAGCTGAGAGTAATGAAGGCATCAGGTCTGCA